AAAAAAAAAAAAAAAAAAAAAAAAAAAAAAAAAAAAAAAAAAAAAAAAAAAAAAAAAAAAAAAAAAAAAAAACAATTCATAGTTTTTTAAAAAGTTCTTATTCAAGTAAACAATCTTCTTTTAAAAAGGATCTGTTTGATTGAGATATTCTCTAAACTTTGAACTATCTAAGAAACTTAGTTATTTCTAAGTATAAAAATTTTAAAAAAAATATTTAAAAAACTTATTCTTCAACTAATGTATAGATTTACTTATTGTATTATTGATATCAATACTATATTACAGTATAATTAACCTGATTAAAATAAAGAAACCTCTATAGAAACTTTGCCTAATTGAAATAAAAGTTTGAAAATCTTAGCTTTTTTTGAAAAAATCTTCTTACTACTTAAAAGATTTAATTAAAAGATAGGGATATTATGTTTTATACTCTTTACTTGTCTTTTTATATCATAATTATTTTTCTTAAGAACTTGCTCAATTGAAGAATATTTTTTTCATAAACTTTTCTTTCTAATTATTAATGATATTATTGAAACATATGAGTATAACCAATATAAACTTGTTTATGTTTTAGAAACTAATGTGTTTTATGTCAACCAATCATCTTTAGTAAGGATTTGTGTTATCTAAAATTTAGGATCAAATTGAGGTAGACAAAATTCCTCAAAAAATCATGAAAGTAAAAGCTCTAAGAAAACTAAAACAGTTCAAAAAGAAGAAAATAAGTCTTTTAATTGCAATAAAACCTTTATAAATTTCTTACTTCAAAAATTAGAAAGATCTCTAAATACTTTATAATTAGTTATTCTTTTTTTAAAAACTTTCTTTTCATTGATATCAAAGGTGTTACTTGACTTTTTTTGATCACTAGAAATCAAGTTTTTGAGTAAAAAGATTTGTAAACTAAAAAAAAGTATAGAAATAACTTTTTAAGTTCTACTTCAAGTTGTTTTAATAAAAGTATTAAGACTTTACTAGTAAAAACTTCTTGCAAACTTCTTTTTTATATGTGATTAGTTAATCAATTAAAATTTTTTATTAATTATATTTATATGATTTGATAATTTTTTTTTTTTATAAGCTGGCTTGACCAAGTTTATTAGTGAAGTTTTACTATGTAGATATATCTGACCAGAAGAAAAACAATGGAAAGCTAGTAAACTAATGATAGATTAAAACTACTTTATGGCTAAGCCATCTTCAGATAGAGATCTAATAAGGGACCATTAGGATGATAAAAATTTCTTAAAGAGAATTGGTATGTATAATAGATCTATATCTACCACAGACTATCTAACCTATTCTGCTAATGTATTTGATATCCTACTCTGCTATCTCTATTTAGAAAAGAAAAATGAAGCTAAGACTATACAAATTTAAATAGGAATGAAGATTCTGTATTACAAAAAAGGTATCAGAAGGAGAAGGAGAAATGGTTTGATTATGGATAACTTGGAAATACACTACTACTACTATGTTGATACCATGGGTTAGTTACTTTTCAAGGGCTTCATTAGTTCAAGGTGCAATACCTATTTCTTTATTGCTTTCAGTATCTTTATGTTGAGATTCTTGTCTACCAGTTTTTTGCCTTTTTCTTCCATATCCTATCCAGTATAAAATCTTCTGTTAATATTCTTCTGGATAATAATAAGTCAGGAGTAAAGGCTCTAGGACATAAGTAAAAGGACACTAGAAACTACAAAATCTTCAGCCTAGAAAGAAGAGTCTTGTTTTTTCCAGTATGTACTTTTGTCAGCTTGATAAGTATTATACTATATTTTTCAAAGTACTATTATCTGTGAAGATTGAACCATTGTCTAATGTTCCATTGTGACATATTCTTTAGCCACTTGAAATCATTCGATTACATATTGGTATTGCTGATTAGGTGCAAATAATTCTAAGATCTCTCTGATCTTTCAATATTTATGCTAATAAAGAATAGGCATGGCACTTTTAAGACATCATTCTCATTCTATATTCCTTTGAGTCTAGTCTTCCTTTCTTTCTTGATAGATCAGAAGGGAGGATATGTTCATTCTCTTTCACTTAATCAAAGATATAGGAGTTAATAGTATTCATTATCCACCTGTATCAGCACAATAACTTATGATGGACCCCAGATTTTTATGGAGCTAAGGAAATGCATTTAAATATGTGAAGTGACCAATAGGAGCTTGTTTACTTCTTTTACTAATGTGAGCTCTATCTATCTAATCACAGTGTGAGAAACTTTGTGTTACTCAAAATTTAGGATCAAACTGAGGTAAATAAAATTTCTCAGAAAAAATCAAGAATGAGAAGTAACAGATAACAAGAAAGTGAAAAAATTGTTTCTTATCATGACAACATTTCTGTAATGTTTTTCTATGATATAAGATAATAGCACATTAGTTCTTCTTTCTTTTAGAACTTTCTTGCCATAAATAAAAAAGATGTTTTTTGACCTTTAAGGTCACTAGAGATCAAGTTTTTGTTTGAAAAGGATAGTAAGCAAGAGAAGTGGTGATAGTTGATAGCTTTTGAAGCTTTTTTAAGTTGGTTTAAGAAAAGTGATAAGACTTTATTAGCTTAGAAATATAAAAACTTTTTGTGAATATCTTTTTTATATATGATCAGAGAATTAGTGCAAAGAGTTTTGTGTATATAATTTGATAATATTAATAATAATTAAACTTTTCACTGATCCTTTGATTATACACAAAAAAGATATTTGTAAGAAGTTTTTTCACTTCTTTATTAATAAAGTCTTAATATCTTAAAACAACTTGAAGTATGACTTTAAAAGTTATTTTTATACTTTCTCTCTTGTTTGCAAACTTCTTCACTCAAAAACTTGACTTCTGATGATCAAGAAAAGTCAAGTAATATCTTTGATATCAATGTCAAAAAAGTTTTTAAAGAAAAAAAAACTAACTGTGAAGTATCTGAAGGCCTTTTTAATCTTTAAAGTGAAAGGTTATAGAGGTTTTATTATAGTAACAAAACTTATTTTCTTTCTTTCTGGCTATTTAGGCTTTATAATTTTCTAGTAAATTTTGTCTATCTCAATTTGATCCTAAATTTTAGGTGATACAAGTCCTCACCAAAAGTGATTGACTAATATAAAACATGTTAGTTTTTGAAATATAGACAAGCTTCTATTAATTATATTCATATATTTCAATAATATTATTGATAATTGAAAAGAATGTTTCAGAAATATTTATTTTTCATAAATTCAAGTTTCTTAAAAAAAATATCTATAATATCAAAAGATTAAGAGATGAATAATATGGATTGCAAATTTCTATCTTTTTCCTAAGTTCTTTAGATGGTAACTAAAGATGGTTCTTTAAAGAAGAAGATAGAGACAAAAGTCAAATGTTCTTTATTAGGAAAAATTAAAAATTTTAAATTAATAACCATAAAAAAACTATCTACAGTTGTTATCCATTATTCAAATAATTGTTTTATAGTATTTTTCAATTTTTGTCCCTATTAAAGAGAAGAGTTATAAATTTTGTTCCTCAAAAAAGAATATAAGTGATCTGTGAAATTTTATATGTTAAATACTTAAAGAACCTATTATTAGTAGTAATAAAGCTTTAATGGACAAAAACTAAGGTCTAAATACTTTTTTTGAGATATCACAATTTGATGTTCACTTAAATGAAAGATCAGTTGAATTGACTCATTTGATATCATAAGTGATAATCAAGAAGATTTCTTTTGAGATTCAAGAGAAGCAATAAGATTATTACAATAAGGCAAATTTCTATTGAAAGAAGGATTGCTTTCTTTTTGGACTTTTTAATAAAACCTTGAATTGTTTCTCTTTTTCAAATTCTTTTTTTTCTTTTTTCTTAACTTAGCAGTTTATGGTTTATAGATAACTTACAATAACAAACTATTGATAATGAACTTAGTGGATAGAGATTATTTATTAATCCTCTAAGAAAGTAAAATATTGTTCCCTAGATCTGACTTAAAGTACTTTAATACAATGATGAGTTAGTTATTATGTAAAAAATCATAATATTATAGATAATTATATAAATTCTCAATAAAGATCAAGTCATGTAATATGATTATGGATTAAAATATATATATATATATTAATAATAATTAAAAAAGAAGAAAAACTTTTTTTTAAAAAAATATATCTATAATTTAAAAGATAAAAGGCAAATAATATAGATTACAAACATATATTTCTATTAAGTTTCTTAGATAATAAAAATATTTTATTGAGTAAAGTTAAAAATTTTTTATTTTTCTTGAGTTATTTAAATTTGAAATTTGCTTAAATTATAGATCCATTAAATTGATTATTTAAATATTATAGATAATAACAAAAAAATTTCTTTTAGATTCAATTTAAAATATGAAAAATATCTCAATTAGATAAATATTTTTTAAAAAATTTTTATTGTTTTTGATTAATTTTTTAAAGAAATCTTAAATAGTCTTTTTTTTTTTCTTTTTATTATTCTTTTTTTCCTTTTTTAATATAACAATTCAATAGCAAAAAATTGTTGACAATAAATCTTTTAAGGAAGTGAAATATTATTCCTCAAATCCGACTTAGAGTATTTAAGTATATAACGAGTTAATCACTTCTATGAAAATCTGTAATATAAGCTTCTCAATAAAGATAAAAATTATAAAAATTAAAATAAATAATATTCCACGTGACACCAACATTTCGCATTACACTTTTTACCTAAAAACTGTAACGTCTACAGGTAAGAGCAAGCGTAACGTATTATTTGTGGAGAAATTACTTATTATCATTAGTTAAAAATAGGTGGCAAAGACGTTCAGCCACCAGATGCTGATGCGCCTAAGAAAGGAAAAAATGTTCGACCACCAGATATTGGTACATCTGAGAAAGGGCAAGCATCCGAAGAAACTCCCTTCCTAAGGGAACAGTCTACTGGTAATTATTGTATTGCATGTATTGTATATAGAGGGACTGCTCATTATCTTTGGCAAAAAACAAATAGCTTCCATGGAGGGCGTTGAAACTACTGAAGTTGCCATGCCAAGTGCAAAAGAAATCAAGAAGTGGAGTCCGCAACAAGTTCTTGAATTTCTTGAAAAAAAGAAAGATGAACTATTTCTTAAGAACCAACACATCAAAATAATTGAGGATCAAGAAATTTCTGGTCAAGCCTTTCTGGATTTGACACAAGATGACCTTATGAATGTTGGAATGACTCTTGGACCTACTAAAGCAATAATAAGGTTGGTTAAGAAATTGAACGGCGAAGAGCAAGGTAATTAGTGAGCGAATAATGCAATCATCTGTCGATTCGCAATATAAAATTGGTAAGAAGAGATGGTTGTCACGGCGGGATAGTTGTTTAAGGAAACGTTTGGTATATAATGTTTTGCTACATTAACCTGTACTTTTTTTACCCGCTTTATTTTTAAAGTGACGTTAAAACGTAAACATGAAGAATCAGAAGATTTGAGCGAAATCTTAAAAACAACATTGCGAGAAGAATTCACTCGGCAATTTCCTGCTCAGATACCAGTTTCAGAACTTTCTGGAAAAAAGATGGAAAAAATAATGTCTGATATTGGAATGCCGACTATAGAAGTAAGTTCCCCCTTTCTCTATATTTAGAGTGTTTCTACCACTCATCACTTATCCATTATCTAGTTATCAAAGGATGACTTCGAATCATTTAAACCGGTCTCGTGCACACCCTTCGATTGGGATTTAGAGATGAGAGAATCTCAGCAGATGACCAATGTTGTGATATGGCTTCAGAATGCATTAGCACTACCAAAGGGCCTCCGTGTGATAGATTCACATACACAAATTTACAATCAACGAAATTTACAAAGTGCAAATATTACGTTAACAGGTGGTGGTGACATAACTATTGGACCAACTGAAACCCCTTGCGTTTGGTTCGAAATCAAGAAAACACCTGAGGCTTTTAAAGAAGCTCAAGCCATAGGGAAACTATTCTTATTGGATTCTCTCTCCCCTCTACATCCAATGGTCGTCTTGACGGATTGCAATGACCATTGGAGTCTGTTCTTCTTTGAGAAATTACTTTTTGTGACTAACCTGACAAAAGCTAGAATTAATCATCGTGGTACTGCCTTGGCGGTAATTAGACAATTTGTCCTTGAAGAAGCAAGCGTGTTTTACAGTTGGAGGAACAAGCGCGTCAACTTCGAAGCGAAACCATGTCAACCTCTTGAAAAGAAAGCAAAATTTATTCAATACACACCTGCAACAGAGGACAGGATGGCCGAGTTAGTTGATGACATGTCTGAACAAGAATTATTCAACATGACGGCTCGCAAAAGATTAAAGATATTAAGGAATTTGTGTAGATTAGATGAACTGCCATATGTGGATCAACTTATTGGGCAGTTTAGCGATGATTATGAATATACACCGCCACAGATGTATACATAACAAATAGGAATAATTGAAATCACAACTTTGTACTCACTTGAAAAGTCATTAAAAATTTATTTCTCTTTTCAGCACGGATAGGCCTGCGCGAAATAATATATGCGTTCGTCAAAAGAACACAACACCTGTTTGTCGATCTTTAATTGCTAAAATTTTAATCAAATAAATTAGATAACGACAAAATTTATAATATACTGTAGATAGTGTATAAGATGTTGTATTATAATAGTGATTAATAAAAAAAAATTTGAGTTTTTTTTTTTATTTTTTTTTAATCGTTAGGTTAGTTATGTGTGCTTTATTAAATATTGAGTAAACTGTACATGTAGCATGTATTACTAAAGTTAAATCTCTAACTTGTATATGTTTTTATTACCCTAAGTGCGATTTCAAAGTGATTTATTATTTCATTAGCAATTTAGATGAAAACCTTTTCAACTTCTAGTATTATTCATTGTCACAAATCACTATTACTGTATAGATTATCTTTTCAAGTTCTGATAGGAATCAACACCCCAACTATTTCATTTCATTATTAAAATTTTTTTCAGGCTCTTTTCTTCTAAATTTTCTTCTAATATCAGTTTTCTTCTCATTGAGAATGCAATTTTTTGATTCAATAAACTTGAAAATTTTTTTATCATATTATTTTTATAGATTCCTTGTATTTATTTTCATTTATTTTTTCATTTATATCAAAGGTGACAAAAATATTATCTAAAAAATTTTTGACAACCTTTTTTATTTTTTTATTCTGAATTTAAAATATTTATAACTAATTAAATTCAATAAAAAAATACTTATCTTAAAGCTTATATTATAAACTATCATTTAATCTATATTCTAAACAAACTCTTTCCGCTGATCCCCTTTTTCCTAAAAATTTCCTTATTTGATAATTTTTTTGGAAAAGAGAAGCCAGCCTCAAAAGCACTTTATCCTTTAAAGATTTAGGACTTAACAACAAACTACA